TCTTTCTTTCTTTCTTTCTTTCTTTCTTTCGAGACAGAGTTTTCCTTTGTATTCCAGGCTGGGTTTGAACTTGTGGCAATCCTCCTGCCTCAGCCTCTCAAGTAGAGTACTGGGATTATAGGCATCCTCCACCACACCCTGCTGTTTGTTTGTTTTGAGACTAGGTCTTGCTGTGTGGTCCAGGCTGGACTCAACTTCTCAGGGATCCTCCTTCCCACAGCTTCCCAAGGATTACAGGTGGGCACCACAATGTCCAGCCCTCTCCCTGTTTTGAATCCTGTCTGGTTGTTACAGGAAATATGTCCAGAAGTCAGCTTCGACCTTCAACCCTCCCTCTCATTTCCTGCCTACATGTCACAGGACTGGGGAGAGGTGACACCTTAAAGGGGTTATTACACCCCAAAGTCTGTCCTTTGCCCTACTGGCCAAGAAATTTGCTTGTAGATGGAGGAAGGGGAGAGGGAGGGGAGTCTGCACATGTACTGACTCCCTACGATAAATGTAATTGCTATGTACTGCAAACATGTACTAATAATCATAAAAATGAAAAAAAAGAAACTAAAAAAAAAAGAAAAAAAAGAAACTTACTTGTATCAGTGTGACAGGAACCAATGATCACATGAGGCTGTGACATTGCAGAGTTCCCAGTAACATCGGCCACTGGGACACACTGTCCAGGATGGGCATGCCACTGGCCCTAGCCACATCACTTGTCCATCATCACTTGCCTAGAAGTCGTTGAGCCATATTTATTCCTGCCATGGCAAGACTCCCCACCCCTACCCCCAAGACAGGTGCTCCAAAGAAGCCTGAGGAAGGCAGTGAGACAGGGTTTTGCTATGTACTTCAGGCTGGCCTTGAACTCACTATGTAGCCCAGGCTGCCCTCAAACTTACAGCAATCCTCCTGTCTCAGCCTTCTGAGTGCTGGGATTTACAGGCACGTGCCACCATACTCGGCCTGTGGCCAAATATTCTTACAGTCACTCCTAGAACTTACTGAATCTGAGTGAGATGGGGGAAAATAGATGTAACTCCCAAACCTGCTAGAACCCAAAATGTAAGTTTGTGCTCTCTAAAATCGAAGAATGACTTCTAGGAACAACGGAGATTAAGAGTAGGAAGAATTTGAGCTGGGGATTTAGCTCAGTGGTTCCAATGGCTGCCTCGAAAGCACAAGGACCCGAGTTGGATCCGCAGTACCAAAAAAAAAAAAAAAAGAGTAGGAAAAATTTATTAAGAGAAAGATAGCTTCTCTCTAAGAGAAACAGAGAGGGGACCAGAAAGTGGGTTGCCCACCCACCCTGCTTCTCAAAGGTGTTTTATTGAGCAAAGCCACAAGGTGAGGTGGGTTCAAGGAAGGACAAAACTACAGTCAACTAATGAGATTACAAGTATAGTCGCTTAGGAAATATAGATCCAATGGGAAATCATGATGTGGGACAAAACTATGAGCAGCCAATAAGATTACAATAAGTAGGCTGGGGATTTACCTCAGTGGTTCCACTGCCTGCTTCACAAGCACAAGGGCCCGAGTTTGATCCCCAGTACCAAAAAATCAATCAATCAATCAATCCCCTCTCTCAAAAGAAATTTTTTTTTTTTGGTACTGGGGATGGAACTCGGACCTTGTGCTTTTGAGGCAGGCAGCAGAACCACTAAGCTAAATCCCCAGCCCTCCAAAAGAAATTAAAAAAAAAAAGATTACAATAAGTATAATCACTTAGGTAATATTGATTATATGGCAATCAAATGGGGAAGCAAGTCACATCAACAAAAAATATCAGAACCAAACTTGAACAAATGGACTTAGTCAATGACTAAAGAGTGTTCCACCCCAGAACATCAGAATACATATTCTCAGCTGCACACAGGTTGTTCTCCAAAATAGCTCATAGAACATGCTTAAGTAAATGCAAAAGAATTGAAATTATGCCATGCATATTATCAGACCATAGTGCAATGAAATTGAAAATCAATGGCAAAAGAAACCTCAAGAACTTTAAAAAACATGGAATTTGAGGGAGCTCAAATAACCTAATGTTGAACCTCAAGCTTCTAGAAACAGAAGAGCAAGTCAAGACCAAAGCTCACACCAGGGAGGAAATTACAAAGATCAGGGGCAGGGGATTTAGCTCAGTGGTTTTCCAGCTTGCTGCGCAAGCTCAAGGACCCAAGTTCGATCCCATGGTACCAAAAAATAAAAAATAAATAAAGATCAGAGCAGAAATTAGTGCACTGGAGACTAAGAGAACAATACCAAGAAGCAAGGAATTAGAGTTGGCTCTTTGAAAGATTAAATAAAATTGACAAAACCTTAGCCAACTTTATCAAAAATAGGAAAGACTCAAATCCATGCAATTAGGAATGAAAATGGTGAAATCAAAGCAGATA